AATAATAAAGTTGGAAGGGACCTTGGAGGTCATCTAGTCCAATCCCCTGCTCAGGCAGGAAACCCTATACCATTTCAGACAAATGGCTGTCCAGTCTCTTCTTAAAAACTTCCAGTGTTGGAGCATTCACCACTTCTGGAGGCAGGTTGTTCCACTGGTTAATTGTTCTAACTGTCAGGAAGTTTCTCCTTAGTTCTAGATTGCTTTCTCCTTGATTAGTTTCCATCCATTGCTTCTTGTCCTGCCTTCAGGCGCCCATCTCAATCTGGTAAATAATTCATAATGAATCAAGATTGTAATAAAGTCAAGGCCTCTGAAAACTACAATACAGTCAAGCCATACATGTACAGAATACAGAATAACAAAGTTGGAAGGGACCTTGGAGGTCTTCTAGTCCAACCCCCTGCTCAAGCAGGAAACCCTGTACCATTTCAGACAAATAGCTTTCCAATCTCTTTTTAAAAACCTCCAGTGATGGAGCACGCACAGCTTCTGAAGGCAAGTCATTCCACTGATTAATTTTTCTCACTGTCAAAAAATTTCTCCTTAGTTCTAAATTGGATTGCTCTTTGATAAGTTTCCATCTGTTATTTCTTGTCCTGCCCTCAAGTCTTCTGGAGAATAGGTTGAGTCTCATCTTCTGGGTGACAGTCCCTCAAATACTGGAAGACTATTATCATATTAGCCTTAGTCCTTTTCTTCATTAGACTAGCTATATGTCATGGTTCCGACAGATTAAACTCTTCAAAAGAACTTCGAGGCATTGTTTACTTTAAAGAATCTTTTAATCGAGAAACAAAGTATCGACATTACATAGTCGAAACCAAAAACTAAATTCCTTTAAAAACATAGATGTTTTTAAAAATCTACTTCTTTCCCCCTTAATATTCCATTTTTATTTCCTAATAAAGCTGCAGAATTTTAGAGAAAAAACAAAATTGTTAATGATGGGAGAGTTGAATATAAAAATAATTCTCTGAACTGAGGAATAGAAAAAAGTTGATGGTGACAAAGTAATATTTGTTTTATTTTGTAAATTTGTAATTTTTTTTCTTCCCATTTCTGATTTACTTCACAGCTGGCCAAGAAATATGGAAATATATACACATTGTGGTTGGGGAAACAATGTATAGTGGTGCTGTCTGGATTCAAAGCTGTAAAAGAAGGCTTGGTTAGATATGGAGAAGAATTTAGTGATCGAACTGTAAGTGCTTTCTTTTCATCTCAAGGAAAAGGAAGAGGTAAGTTGCAAAAAGTAAGCAATTTCAGCATTATGTTTATGCCAGCCTTATTAGAAAGGTTGCTGGAATTGGGTGTGTTTGGTCTACTGAAAAGAAGGACTAGGGGTGACATGACAGCACTGTCCAATATTTCAGGAGCTACTACAAAGATGAGGGGGACAATCTATTCTCCAAAGCTCCTGACAGCAGGACAAGAAGCAAGGGATGGAAATTAGTCAAGGAGAGAAGCAGCCTAAAACTAAGGAGAAATTTCCTAACAGTGAGAACAATCAACCAGTGGAACAACTTGCCTTCAAAAGTTGTGGGTGCCCTATTGCTGGAGGCTTTTAAGAAGAGACTGGACAGCCATTTGTCTCAAATGGTATAAGGTCTCCTATTTGAACAGGGGATTGGGCTAGAAAACCTCCAAGGTCCCTTCCAGCTCTGTTATTCTGATTCTGATAGAAAAATCAGATCAGAATAAACTCCACAGGAAGAGCAAAGCTATAATCTATTGAGATGGGCTAACTAAGTAATAGAAACTTGCAAGTCTGATTATACTATGCTTCCTTCCTTTTTACGCTTCAGTGAATGAGGGAGGTGTTTGCCTGATTTATTTCTGAATATTATCTGAATGGTCTCATTATCTTAATTTAATGAATGTTTCAACCCTTTTTGCCTTTGGAAATATTCTTGCATATTTCTCTCAAGGTCCCTTCTCTTACTGTCTATAGTTTGTCAGAATTTTACTAGGTTGCCATTAAAAAAAGTGAGCTGTCTCACTGTAAGTGGAGACACACCTCCTCTCCCCCCCCCAAAAAAAATTCTAAAATGGCAATTGTGTGAATTCCCCAGTTAAGATAGGCAAGAAAATGGTAAGTGAGCACCTGTCCAGCCTAGACGAGTTCAAATCACCAGGACCAGATGGATTATACCCCAAGGTTCTCAAGGAACTGGCAGATGTGATCTCAGAACCACTGAATTATATGTTTCAAAGATCCTGGAGCACTGGGGAACTATCAGAGGACTGGAAAAGAGCTGATGTAGTTCCCATCTTCAAAAAAGGGGAAAAATGGATCCAGGAAACTACAGACCTATCAGCCTGACCTCAATACTTGGGAAGATTCTGGAAAAGATAATAAAAAAACGAATCAGCGAACACCTAGAGGCAAATAAAGTCATTACTAAAAGCTAACGTGGGTTTGTCAAAAACAGCTTCCCCCATTGACTTTGCTTGTTGAAAGTGGGCTGGGAAGATCACGTGACCCTGGGACATTGCAACTGTTATAAATACATGTCAGTTTCCAAGTGCATGAATTTTGATCATGTGTCCATGGGGATGTTCCAACGGCCATAATGGCCAGTTGTAAGCCACTTTTTTAATGCCATTGTAACTTTGAACAGCCATTAACAAATGATCATGAATCAAGGATTACCTATATAATCTAATATTTATTGAACATTTTAGCTTTAATGTCTTTTCCCATTGTCTGGGCAAAATAGGAAACTCTGATTCTTTATTCCATTCAGTTATTATTCAGCACTAATACAATGTTATAAAGACTAATTGTAGGCTATAACACATCAAAACCTTTAGTGATTGACTAATTGTATCTGAGAATAAAAAGTCACATGTTCAAACTGGTTATCAATAGATGTAATTGCAAAAACTGCCATTGAGTTACATCAGACAAATACATGAGTGGAGAGTGATAGCAAAGGTATCATTTCCATCTATTAATGGATCTAAAAGATAAAATATGGCTTACGTCTGCCTTTTCTGTATAATAAATTTTAATTCTGAGAACTGGATTATCCAAGAACATCAAGTTGGTGTTGAATCTTAGTAACCATATAGATTTCCTCTAGAGACGTTTCAACTTAGTTTGACAAAAACCAATGGATTCTCTGTGGTCTTATTAATATCAAGATATTAGTTTGCCAGTAATGGCTCCAATTATGCAGTGAAGATCTGCTATTACTTGCATTTTATGAAAGAGTTGACTGTACATGGGTGATTTACAGCAAAATATGGTTATCTTTTATTGAAACTTACATGTATGTAAGAACTGTGGTGGCACAGTAGTTGGAATGCAGTATTGCAGGCTAATTCTGCTGACTGCCAGTAGTTCAATCCTGACCAGCTCAAGGTTGACTTAGACTTCCATCCTTCTGAGTTCAGTAAAATGAGGACCCAGATTGCTGAGGGCAAATATGCTGACTCTGTAAACCACTCAGAGAGGGCTGTAACGCACTATGAAGTGGTATATAAGTCTAACTGCTATTGCTATTATATAAGCATGTATGATCTGCCACAATAATGATTTCTTCTACAATGCTAATTTGTCCTTTTCAAAAAAAACAAACAAAAATGAATATAATCAATCATTTCTCCTTGATTTATTATGTCTTCAGGTATTATATTTGCAAATGGTCACATCTGGAAGAAGCAGCGACAGATTGGTAATGCTTCTTTGCGGCTGCTGGGACTAGGGAATAAAAAGATTGAGCATCAGATTAAAGACGAAGCCCAGCAACTTGTAAAAACCTTTGCACGTACAAAAGGTAGGTAACATTAGCAATGAGAGAGCTCAAAGGGTAACTACAGCTTATTGGGTCTCTGTCAAACAAAGCAAGATTGACTCTGTACAGCATAGACACCAGAATGAAGAGCAGGCACAAAATTAGTGGATCAGAGGATTGCTGTGGATATAATTTACTTGGACTTCAGTAAGGCATTTGATAAAGTAGATCACAACCTACTACTTGAGAAGATAGAAAAATGTGGGGTAGACAGCATCACCACCAGATGGATCCGTAGCTGGCTGACCGGCCGTACTCACAGTGGCGGATTTAGTAGTTAGGAGGCCCGAGGCGCAAACAAATTGAGGCCCCCTCACGCTTGAAGAAAAACAATATTATGAAACTATGAACTTTATTTGGCAAACAGCATTTTCATATCAAATAAGCCATCTCAAACGCGTAAGCGCGCGTAAAGAGGGGGGCGAAGCACAAGCAAACGAGCCGTCGCCTCAGCGCCA